CGAACCCGCCGTGGCGGCGATGGCCGACACGATCGCGTGCCGCTTCATGTTGACATTGACGCGGCGGTGCCATCGGCGCCAGATCTTCGTTGGAGCAAACATCCGACCACCACGGCACATGTTCCCGAAGGCTCCCTGACCGGCGCGGTGAGTTCCACCACCGGGAACACGAGGGATACGCGATACAGCACGTCCCGTACCCCAAGACTCGGCGGATGTCTGATGACCAGCGCGCTTGGAGACAGCATAAGGCTGACGACTGTTGTTGGAGATCTGGGCATGAACAAAATTGACGATGTCGGGACGAACCGGTGCCTTCATCACATCTGGCAACGGAACGGTGGTGGCTTGATCGGTGCTCATGTCACCGTCCAGAGATTGGACGGTGATGAGAGGACGAGCGGCTGCGGCCATTGATGCAGGAAGAGTACTCGTCTAGGGTTTTCGGGTAAGAGAACGAAATGAGTTGCAAAGTAGAATTTATATAAGTAGGGTTTGTTTCCCAGGTTATTTTGGTAAATAGCATTCTAAATTCTTCTGATATTATTTTAAAAAAACTTTTCACTGGGCGACAAGACGTCGTCGTTTTTCAGGAATGTGAAAGGTGAAGTCCTTTGGAAAGACCGAATCCGAAGGACGACGATGATGGCGAGCGAGGTGGCGGCCAAGTTTGTGTGGGAAGGAGCGATTCCTCTTCAGATTCATCTCCACAAATCCGATGTTGCGTCTCATCCCGCTCCTCCTCCAGCTCTCGTATGCTTTCTTTTTACTCCAAATTCTTCGTTTTCGTTAATCGGTCGGAGAAATCTCCGGTCGGCGGTGTTGATCGTGATGAGGAGGAGTTAGGTTTTGCTTCCGATTTTGGTTTCTAACTTCATTGATTTGAATCTAAGTCCTTGACGGGTTGGAGTCGAGAATCATGTTGCTGACTTCGAGCTGGGTTTTCCGGAGGTGATTGGATTGGTAGAGACGTGTAATTTTGCTGATTTTTTACTTGATCTGAAGATTTGGATGAAATTGATGAATTCTGCAACCTAGTGAGATTTTTGCCGGGTGGGAGAGTCCAGATTTTTGGGTTAGGCAAAAAAGGAATTTTGAATGAGATTTTTTCGCAGTGGTAATGGAGCTATGCAGTGATTGTAGGCCTGAAGATTGGTATTCAGCCCAATCAATGAAAAAAATGAGGGACTGGTCTTGCAAATTGCAATCAGTGCATTTTTAACGAATTTCGGATTTTTAACAACTACTAGTTTTTGTGTTGTTGTTAGGTACATGTTTATGTTTCTCTTATTCGATTCTGATTGTGATCTTGATGCTTGAACAATGTTTTCAGGGTATTCTCAAGATAGCATGTTATTTTCTTGGTGTGATCTAAATTTCCTCTTTCTTACTCGAATTTTCAGGTTTTAGCGCCGAGGATAGGGTACTTGCCTCTACTAGTTCCTCTTATAAAGCCTTATTTCAAGGATTCACTTCCTCCTGGAGAGGATTCCATCTGGTTTGATTACAAAGGGTTGCCCTTGAAATGGTACACCGCTCTT